TATTTATAAATATATATGTATATACTTTCAATCAGGTATATTATAGTACCCATTAAAAATATATTTATATCTTCATAAACCTTAATACTGGCATTGTTCATGTTATTTTGTACAATCTTTAAAAAATAAGTTTCTTAACCAAATTTATATTTATTATTTTTCTTACGGACGGATAACTGCCTTCTTGTATACTTAAGTTGGTTTATAATCAAAGGTCATGATAATAATAAAAAAAACAGGAGAATAAAACTATGTTAATAAAAGTATTGGCTTCGTTTTTCATAGGTAAAAGAAATTAAATGAGTTGAAAATAAAGAACGGGATACGCAGAATAAGAAACAAAATTTGTAGAAAAAAAGAAATCGGTAAATATTGATCGGTATTGCCAGATTTCTGAACTATACTAATACATGTATATTTTTTTATGTAGTAAATAAACTTTTCATACTCAAACAGACTGAATACCTTTTTGTTGAAATAAAGCTCTATTCATAGATGTCTAAAAATTTCCAATAGCGATACGCTTTCCTGCAAGTCAGTTCATCTAAAATTGTTAACAGAACAATTTATTTTTTCAATATTCACATTTGACTAAACATCATTAGATCAAGCTGAAAAATAAAGGTTGTCTAAAAACGTCAGTATTTTTCACTCACGAAACCTTGTTTTTTACCTACAATTTTAAAATTATTATTAAAATTTAATAGTTTATAAAAAATAAACTTTTACTATAACTTTTCCGCATTATTCTTCTTTGTTCATAAACATTTCAAAACCAGTTAAGCAATTGATATAATCAAATAAATCATTATCCAAATTAATAAACTATGTTAGTCAATATGACTATGTTAGTCAATTTAAATTTCTGTTAGAGTTAATTGCAATGATTTACGATGAAAATTTTTCCTTTAACATTTTCGATCATGCAAAATTGAGTTTTGTTTGATTTTTGGACGAGGCACTTAATTCTTAGATTCACATCTGCACTTAATTCTTAGATTTATGATTCCTTAAAGTAAATAAAGAAAAATTTTAAAATTTCTTCAAACGGATTCTGCATTTGCTTAAAAGTTGTCACAATTATAAAAAAATTTTAAGTTTTTAAATTATAGTAAATGGTAACACTGTAAATAATTTTTTCTTTGCCTTTCGAAACTGAATTGGTCGTTAAAAGATTTCAGGCAAATGGTTATCACACATCTATGTATACATACTCTTAAATGCGAAATTGTATATATACGAATGCATATTCAAAGAATTAATCTTTGTACCTACTCTGTTGTTCATGTTAGCATGTTGTATGGTTACGTACCCAAACATATTTTAATCTTTTTTTCTTCTATTTTGTGATTTTTATGTTCCATGTGTTCTTTTATTGCTTTTTGTACAGAATATTTTGCATCATTGAAAATTGAATGTTCGAAAGGCATTTACAATAGTTGAGGAGCAACAACAACTTTTAGAATTCATTTTTTCTTTCTTGAATTTATTTTTGTATAGATACTTTGATAGAGGAGGGTATTTAGAATGGTAGTTTGGCGCAATTTATTATGCCACCAGGTGATCTTGTTTTTCTTTTTCTTTTCGTTTTTTTTGTATTTGAACTTTTTGTATTTTTTTTTTTTGTGTTACCTCCTGTTCTATTTTGTATATTGTTTATTTATACAAACACATATAGTATTATATGAATTACATATGGAGTTTATTTTGTTTTTGAAGTTAAGATTCTTGGATTTTGCATCATTTGATCCTTTGAAAAAATATTACAATTATGAGTATTTCAAGGCAGCAATAGCATACTTTTAGAAGATAATAATAAAAAATTGTATAGAAGAATGGAAAGAATAGGAACTTAATCAAAAAATAAAAGAATATTCTTGACTGAAGTTGTTCCAGACTTAAAAAAAAAATTATCCCTTAAGAAGTCATCGTTTTTTTTCTAGCTATAAGCACCTCTAGTTTTTAAGATGTAGAAATTTTATATATGTGTGTTAATATTGTAAATAAAATCATTGACTAGGGAAATAATTTTATAATAGAGCTTTAGTCCTTATAAGTAGAGAACTTTACTATTTATTACTCTAAGTCGATTTGACCTTTATGAATTCTAAACAAAAATTTATTTGGATTTGCTCCGGATTGAAAAATATTTTTTTAAACCTTATATTTTTTTAATTTATATCACTATTGAATAGTTATATAGTTGTAGTAGTGACTATCTCTCGACTCTGTTAACGAGCTCTGTTAACTTATTTCTACTCGTTTCTAGAAAGAAAAGAAAATTTGTATTAGCGTTGTATTTTAAAAAATAATTCTTACCAAAGATTTTGGAATCCATTCTTTTAAATCTATTTTTTGTTGCTCAATAAAAAGTGCAGTGAAAAATTAAAATACGCTTTCAGTCTATTCTTCAAATAAAAATACAAGACTGGAACTTTTTTGATTGGTTGAAAATATGACAGCTGTGGACTTCTATGTGAATTGAAACAAATAAAAACCCAGCTTTACTCACTCGTTTTAACTCGCACCTAATTAAATAAAATAAAAATTATTGTAATTAAACTAAATTTTTGAAGCTATTTCAAATTTGAGCGTAATTTATAAAAATTGTTGTAACAGCACTCGTACTGACAACATTTGCAAATCAATATCAACAAAATGTAAACCAGAATAAATATACGGAAATAAACAAATTAAATTTTCTAACTCTCTTGAGAATCTAATAGTTACATCTTGTATTTTTATATTACTTGCAGATGTTAATAAACAAAATTCCATTGCAATTATTACAAATAAATGAAAATCTTTCCCGGAAGTATAATAATTTCATCGTGTTTTGTATATACTTTGATGTAAAAAACTCTTAAGGCAATTTTTATAAAAATTTTTGCCATTTATTAACAAATTATTCGATTTTAATTCCATTACATGATTGAATCACAATTGTTATTAATTTATAACATAAACATTATAAGTTAATTGGATTAATTTTTCGATTCTTTTGATTAAAATCTTCTTTAAAATAAAACCAAATTTGTTAATTTCAATTTAATCAAAATTAATTGTAGTAAAAATCTTTAATAAAAAATCTTAAATTAAAATTCGTAACACCTTTCCAGAAAATTGATTTGTCTTAGACACGCGGCAATTTTGATCAAAAATTACTTCCTTTTCAAAAAAATATAAAAAATATAAAGAAAAAGAGAAAAATTTTAAAAATAATCGTTCCAGAAAAAAAAACCCAAACTGAATTAAATCGGATTGAATAGAAAGGAAGCAATAAACAGCAGTTGGATAAAAATTTATTATTCTGGAGCAAAGAAAAAAAACAACATAAAAATATTCGTGCTCTTAAAAATAATAGTAAAAAAAAAAATATAGAAAAAATTAACTACGATTTTAACTATTTTTTTACTATTTTCAATTCAATTTTTTTTTCTCTTCCTCTGTTTGGTATATGAAAACATGCAATCTGCTTATTCACCATCATTAGAAAAATAATTTCTATAACTTTTATTATAATAATGAACTTCAGCTTCAGTTAATCATTTACAATTGTTTAATTTAAACTCATTGAAAATTTTATGTCTTTAACAAGCTGTGATTCTTAATATTATAATAGAACTCGTATTATAATAAATGTAATATATTAAGCGAAAAACCGTAAAAGATATGGAAATATCACAATGCCATATGCAAAATTAAACCACCAGTAAATCAACTTACAATTTTCTTAATTCTATTTAAAACCTAAGTTCAGATTAGTTCAGATTACATCTATAAAAATTTAGTAAAGTAATGTGTTAATCTAATATTACATTACTATTTTCACTCAATTTATTTAAAAACAAAAAAAAAATGAATATTTTTAAATTATAATGTAATTTCATGGTTCATTTATGTGTTATATCCGTAAGCATTTTGAAAAAACTTAGAAAAAAACTAGTAGCATTTCTTTAATAATGTTAAAGTTGGTACGGTAGTACTACCATACGACCATAAGAGTTGATGTACAAATGTATATATGGATTGGTTTAAATGAGATCAAGTGAAGAAAATATAATTTTTCTACATGTTTTTTTTTTAACTAGGAAAACATTTTAATAATTAATGAAGCTTAAAATTAAATCTAAGTTATAGCTATTATAATTTTAATTAATATTTTTGTAGTAGTATAGTTACAGTTATTGATACAAGATATCGATTACAAGTTTTTAATTTATAACATAATTTTAGATGAAAAATAAAATGTTTCTAATATTAATAAAAAACTAGGAAAAATTAAGCCCTGATTGCAGCATAAAGAACGCTTTTAAACAAAATTATGAGTATGTACGTATGTATGTGAAATATTTTTTAAATTCGAAAAATATTTGACATTGTCTAAACAAACACGGAACTTTAAAAGTTTTAATAAATGAGGTGAAAAGATGTGGCATTAAGCTTATTAACAGAATTATGGCAAAATTGAATGTAAAACTGAATTAAAACTGTTCTCAAACTTGTTTTTATAAAAAATTCCTAAAAACAAAACTAATTGTAAATTTTGTATTTTCGCTTTCGTTCCTCTTTTTTCACACTAAAAATAGAACTATTTTAATAACTACGGTTTTGAAAGCTGCTTTTTAGGAACCAGCTTCCTCTATTATCATATAAAATTTTGTTTCACAATGAGATTGCAAAATTTTTCCTTTTGTTCTTTTTTTTTTCTTTATGCCATAAAATTAACCATGATCCGACAGCACTAGTTCGACATTCATATCTAACATACGAAAGAAGATTTACAAGAACCTATAACAAGAAAAAAATTTATTTAATTCACTTGGTTTAAAAATTCAATTTTATAAAGTATTTCTAAACTATAACTTATTTTAATCTCAGTTTGAAATTCCAATCGTCTTCTAAGTATGTTTCTAATTTATAATAAAATTTTATAATTAAATTTTTATCTAGAAATCAAAGTTAAAATTTAATAACTTTAACCTCTCTTTTTTTTGCAGGATATAATTTACAACGTTCATATATCATAGAATTTATAGACGGTAAGTAACTGTTACTCAATTATACTTGTTAATTATTTTTTCTTTTCTTTTACTATTTAAGTTTTTTAGCTGTACACAATAATGTATGCATATATGCTTTCTTTTTTTATGTAATAATTTCGTTTTACAGTTAGAGATTGAATTTTTTTGCAGTTCAAGTCTTATTTAAACAATCTTTTAAACTTATGTCTGCATTTAAAAACCTCATAGTAGAATGCAATTTATTGTTAAACAATTTATAATTAAAATTTTTTTAATAAATCATTTTAGAAATAAGATATTTATTTTTACAAATTGGAAATTTATAAGTGGGTTTTCTTTTTTTGTAATATTATAAATATGGAAAAGAAATCGTTGAAAGATTATTATTTTGTTAAAATTTATTATTGATTCGTTTTCCGGTTATATTATGGAGTTTAAAGTGAATTATGTAACAAAATTTTTCTAAAACGGTAACTTAGGACGTGTTCGCGTTCACAGCTATGCTAATTTAAAAAATTAATATTGAAATTATTATAACCAAAAATATTTTCTTGCGAAGCGTTTAGCTACCAACTCTGAACTGAAATAAGAAATGTAAAATATTTACACAAGATGAAAAAGGAGAAGTAATTATGACACATCTATCTACAAATATGTACAAATACAATAGAAGTGAACAGATATGACGGCGTTCACTCACTGACAAGAGCAAAACTAAAAAAGTTCTTCCCGATTTAAACAGAACATAATGGTCAAACCGTTTCATTTTACAAAATTTTGCTGAAGGACTTACATCAGCAAAACAATATTCGCAAATACTTGAAACCCTTTTGGTTCAATGCACTAAAATAGCAGGTGATCGTCCACTCCCATTTATTGGAGCAAAATTCTACAAAAAATGTGTAATCAATTACAGTTCGATCACATGATAATTGGGACCATAATGTGCCGTAAGGAGACTGACCAGAATTCAGGTTTCTTTTCCTTAGTGGATTCCTCTCCCGTAATTTACTGGATTTCTCCATAAGAAAATCTCAAGCTTGCCCTCATGTTCAACCAAAAATAGGCAGTTTTTTTATTTTTTATAGTTAAAAAAATAAGCACAAACACAGATACGTAATAAACTATTTTTATAAATGCCATCATTTTTATACAATATAATAAAAGTGGACATAAAAGAAGTTGTTGAACGACTAAACAATTCAAAATCACTCAAGTAAATTATTGTTTTTAATCGCATTGAATGCATAAGTATTCTTTGTGAAAATTTATAAAACTTTTAATTGTAATATTTATACAGTTTTTTATTTTATCTATTTCTTTTTTAAAATGCACAAAAGGAAGCATAGCAAATTTATTTTAATATATCCTTTCAATATTTTATCTTGGCATTTCAATCAGGTCCTATAATAATCAATCATTTTACATACATTTTATGATACAAAATGAAATATTCTCAATATAGGTTGAAATTCTATTTTTAAAATAATACCACACATTTATAAAAATTTTACAAACTTGGAAAAATATTTACATGTTTCCTAGACTTCACACTTCCCATTAATAAAAACAATCAATCAAAATTGATATTACTTAGATAATAGAAATAAATTTCAGAATGTACAATCGCATAGAAATTGCCTGCTAGATTTTCTATAAAATATATATAGAATTTTATAAATGAAAATATTCTATTTTACACAATATGCTTTCATTTTATTAAAATAAATAATACAACAAATCTAACAAAATTATATAAACAAAATCTTATAAAGAACTTGCAATTAAAATTACAACCTGTGGTAGTAAAGCAAAACTGTTTATTCGACTTAGTATATAATCGAAATACAACAGCATTTAAAATCTCTATATTTAAATCTAAAACTCGGACAATTAATATCGAACAAAACTCAGGTAAATTAAAGTGGAAAACTCAGGCAAATTAAATTGATGAAAAAAAATTTTACAATACAAAGTTCTAAGAAAAGCATACATACACCTTCGAAAATCCGCTTGATTTTCTCGAAACCATTAACTCTATGTTAAGAAAACAACTGAATTAAAAAATTTTGCGAATAATGGATATTGTATTACTAAAGCAATTACTAAATCATATTGTGTCTAATTCAAACATATACCTAATTGTTCGAAAAAAACTTTAATATAATTGGATTCCATGGCGATGAAAGCCGCACCACTGAGATAGTGATGAGTAATGAATTTCAATCTAATTGTTGATAAATTTGTTATACATTTAAAATTTACACGAAAGAAAGTTGTAGTACACTACAATTCTATTCTATAATAACTAATATAATAACTAATATTCTATAATAACTAACTAAATCGTAATTAAAAATTCATTTAATATTTTTTCTCTATAACAATAGATTCAAATGATACTTAAATTTAGGAAAATTTCTGGACTAATTAAAATATTTAAGAAAGTTTTACATATTTATTGTTTTCGAATTTCTCTAAAATAAATTTTTTTTTTATTAAATTTTCTGAATTCCTGAACACAATTCATTTTGTTTACAGCTATGCATTTATAAACAATTAAATAAAAATATAAAAGTATTCTTTCAACATTCTATTGAATTTTTGTTATACCTATATATTTTACCTATTCTATAAATTTTCTCCCAAACACAAAAGTTTTAATATTTTTATTTATTTTTATAAAAAAATTTTCCTTTAATTTAATAGCAATCTTGTTAAAAATAATTCAAATCATTTATTTATTTATTTACAATCAAAAAGAGAATGAATGATTTGAAACATTTGCAAACAAATTCAACAACGAAACAATATGTCGAACTTTATGTCACTTTAAAATGAGAGTTGTGTTGCCTCCGATTCGTTTATTTAGTATATTTTAACAATAATTTTGTTTCTATATAAATCTAGATATTCAGATTTAAAAAATGAATGTGTAAAATTGTATATAAAAGTAAATATCAGTAAGGTAATCAGCAGACCGCGAAAAACCATCACCATCATTTAAATAATTGAAATGAGAATGAAAATTACTTAAAAATGTAAATAAAATGAACAAAACAATATAACAAACAATGAAAGTTATAACGCATATAAATTTAACAATCATAGGAGATTACATACATATACATTTATATAATTATATTTTACAGTGCTGTTTAATAATAGAAAATTGTGAATTTGAAAATTTTTTTTTCTTTATTAATAATATTTTTAAACAAATCTGATTTTAAGTATTTAAAATTAGTATTTAGAGTAAATTGCTTTTTAATATCATTATGAGATACTTCAAATCTAAATATGTAGTTATCTAATTCATTTAATTAAAAATGGCCAAATTTCTATAATTCAAGAGATTTATACTTTTTGGATCTACTTATCTTTTAAATTAATATTTATTTCACGTGAGAATTTTTATTTCAGAGCAGGTTAATAATCGATTTTGTTTTATTAGTTAAACTACTGAACTCATAATATAGAAAGTTGCAAAATTAGTGTTGATCAAATTGAAGTTAAAATACATAAAATTATTGGTGGAGGAGGGTGGGAGAGTGGACACATAAAATTCAAAATAATTAAAATCTCAAGTCTTTATTTAAAGTGCCAAAAATGTCTTTTTAAACTTGCTTTGCAACGACTTTTTTCCGAATAAATAAAAAATTAACAACATAATAAAATGACAATAAAGTGAATTCACTTACAAAATAAAATTCTTAACAGCACGACCGAGTTATTATTTCTCATAAAATGCGAATGATAAAAAAAATAAACAATTTATTTGAATAAAAAATACTTTTGGAATTTTTTTTCTTTAATAATCCCCTTTATGTGAATTTTTTCTCACTTTTTTTAACGCTTTTCGTAAATTTCCACTATTTTAGACATTATTTTATTTTACGTACGCACATAAACGAAAAAACAATCTTGATTTCATTCATTTCTCATCACTATCTCAGTGGTGGGCTATCATCGCCATGGAATCCAACTTACTATAAAAGTTTTTTAACCAAATTTTTTATTTTTTTTGTGGCAATACAAAAGAAACTACCAACTTATAATAAGCGAATAATATTCTAACCAAATTCGATGATGACGAATTACACTGCAGGAGTTAAATAAATTGATAAAAATGAAAATGAGGAAAGGAAACCATAATTAATAAAAAGAATTATATTTTTCAATTGTAATATTATTACAAATGTCAAAAATGAAATGTCATTAAAATAAATAATTATTATTAATGAACATAAAAATAATAAAGATAACAATTTCTAATATGCAGGTATGTGATGCGATGTGATAAATTGAAAAACTTTTCTCCATTTTAACTCAAATTAAAAAAATGGAATAAATTATTAAACTCCTGTATCACTTTCAATAATGGATCTTAAAACCAGTAAACCAGTCGGATAATTATCGTTTGCCTCAACATGGATTTTTAGATAATTATTTTACTATTAGCTAATTGTCCTACTTTTTAATTATAGTGAATCGGTTAATATTTGGATATTATAATACTTAATTAATAACTAACGAATACGGGATACTAATAATTAGTCTGTTAGAAATTATAATTCAGAAGTTAGAAAAGTTCAATAAACTTCAAGACAATTTTTCACAAATTTCTAAAGTGTAAAAGTAAAATAACAATTTGGTTTAGATTTGCAATCTGTTATTTATTTCACTGTATTACAAATAACACCCCTGTAATGGTAAGCTTGCAACAGTATTGAATGTTAATATGACAAATACAAAAGAAAGCATAACAAATTATTATGAAAAACTAATTTTTAATAATTTCTTATTAAAGTATAAAAAACGATAAAATTTTAATCATTTATTTGAAAAACCTAAAAATTTAATTTTTTAATTATAATGAAAAATTCTAAACTTTGAATTTTCCCTTGCAACTGAAATTACATCTTATATTTCCCAAAATTTTGTTTCCCTTTTGCCGTTATTATTAAAACATCAAATTACTTTCTCTAAAATATTTGACTTCAATTTACAATATGCCA